TTTTATTAAGAGTTCACTGGGCAATGTATACATTATACATATTTAAGATGGGTAATTTTATATTATCCAGGTAATATATACACTACTCCTTTTTTTATACCTTACCCGTAACACAATATATAAAATAAATTATACATTTTACATTGTATACCACGAAATGGTACGACGTAAGCTGTTGTAGCTATCAAAAAATTAAGTATTATTGTCAAGTTCAAAGTTACAACTCTATAAAACGCGCATTACCAATGACGTTTACGTAAACGTGCGCCCATTGTTCTTGGTTTTTTTTTTTTTTTTTTTAATTTAAACGAACCTGTGCATGCATATATTATACACAGTTTTGTAAAGTATACTCGAGTTAAAGTATTCAAGTACTTTTTGAATAATCAAATACGTATTTTAAATAATTTTAAAAAAAATACTCGTATATTGAATAAAAATGAAAGCATTCAGCTCAGTTGATTTATAATAAGACAAAACAAAATGTTGTGTAAACAATTCAAAAATATTCGAAACTTTGAAACTGTCTATAAATACTTTAAATTATCCGTATTCGTACGGAAGTAGTTTTTTCTCGGTGTATTCATTCTAGTGTTTAAGTACGACTTTTTTCGAAATAAGTATTTGTATCTGTATACTTGAGCACTTTTAAAAAGTATCTTTTACAAGACTGAGATTACGGTGTACGTGTTTTACGCACCGCATAGGCTGTGAATACAGTAAACGAAAACGGAAAGGAAAATACGATAGTGCTGTGCGGAGGTGGGAGGAGGGTGAGAAAACGATGACGTACGCTGACAAAAAACTGCCGACGAAGCTAACACACGTAAGATACATGAAATTGTGTATGGATCGGCGTACACCTCCTTCGGGAAGCCGTCGACCGCGACGTAAGTCGAATAACGCGTATATGCGTGCACGCATAATATTATATATATATATTCATTTATAAGTGCGCGCACGTATGTCCGTGTGTGTGTAGCTTAGGTCTTACACTCCTTAAGTGCGCGTGTGCATTTACTAGCTAGATATGTATACATATATATATAATATGTATAGTGTTCCGGGGTGTGTTTAGCCTAAAAAAGCCGAGAGCCGGTGAAATCGAAAATAGAGTCACGGCGCTACAGGTCAAATCGATTTTGGGAGAGATGATGGCCGGAGTTTACACGCCCACATACCGTTTCACCGCCACCGCCACGGCTCAATCCGCGCGCGACCCGCACCGTACAACGCTACACCCAAACCCGGTGGGTGTCGGTGTAACAGTGGTCTACGATAGTGCTGCTGCTGCTACTGCTGCTGCTGCTGCTGCTGTCTCCCCGTACATTGTATACAGTGTACACAACCGCCACCAGAAGCACCCAGCACCACGACAGTGCGCTATTACACACACACACACACACACACACACATAATATATATATATGTACGTATGTATTCAACTCGTCCAGCCACACCATCGCTCGTTTCTCACTATGTCTCGCCCTCTCTATGTCTCTCACCCTCTCACCGCACGGTTAGGTATATATATATATCCTATCGCGTGTATGATTTAGATCTGGTACACTACCGATGTGACCTATATATATATAGTTATCTTCGTGGAGGACGGGTGACGTTGGTCGAGTGGGTCGGATATGTATGACCGGAGGGGTGTACAATATGCGTTCCGCACACCCACATATCGGCCACCCTAGCTGCAGACTCTAACTCCGTAAACCACTGTACCAGTGTCCGACAAACCGACCTATGCTGCCGCCTTGCCACAGCATCGGCAGAATGAAGCCGACGTCGGAGCAGCACAATCGCGGTGGCGGGATAACCGTATCTTCTCGTTGCAGGTAGACATTATGTATATACATATAAATGTAATATGTATAATGCATAATATATTATGATACTTATATCAATACACATGCGCGCCGCACCTAATGTGGGTCAACTGGTCCATGCACGCCATAATATTCACTGTATTGTCATCAACGCAGACACACCGTCACGGATTCCAATAATATAATATACAGATCTATGGCCACGTGACTCAGAGAATTGGGGAATCATATCATACCTAATTTGCCATTACGCATAATAACCCTCTGTGGTGTACACTATTATCAATTGTACGTGTAGATATACTAAATTAGAGAGGTGTGGATTATTTGTTTTTAATAAATAATTTTTTTATGTCTTCATAACTCTATTGACTTATTTCCTTGAATGTTTATTGCATAAATATTTGTAAACTATAACCATCACCTATAATATAGTCGTTTAAAATATTAAAATTGAAAGTGATCGAACATTTAAATTGAATAATTTTTCAAGTCACAATCCAGGAATAAAAATTAAATTTATTAACATTTCAGTCAAATTTATCATAAAAATTTTTTTTTCAGATATAATAATATTTTGTTTTAAAACTCAAAGAATTTTGTGGTGGCATATATTTCTAAACATAACGATATGTGTGTTTGTGGCACGTCTAACCAATTTTATGAGCAGACGGGACTACCCCTATAATCTACATAGATATTCAATAATAATAGAAGAAAAAAAATTACTCTATTAATAGGCTAGTGAATGTAATATAATCGTATAAGAAAGAAATATACGATAGAACAAATAAAACGTGAGACGTATGCCATCACTTAAAACGAAGTGTATCAGTCCACCCATCTGGTTAGGTGCGATCTATCATTAAAACACTGAGTGTATATTGAAAGTAAATTTTCAACGATGGCAAGCAATCATTTCGTTAAGAAGGTGATTAATAAATAATAAATCAAAAAGCCTGAATGTTAAAAATGTTTTTTTTTTTTTTTTTTATCAAGAAATAAAATTATCTGACATGTATATGACGCGTACGTGAAAAAGCGTTCTTAAGAATTTTTAAACAAGAAGTTGGACACATTTTATTTTTTAATAAGAGAGAAGGCAATGTTTAAAAAAAAGCCGAACACGAAAATTAAAATAACTACACGTCATATTTTTAACAAATCGTATCAATTTATAGTTATTTATCTATCAACTATATACTGTGCACGACGCACAGTATGTTTATTATACTCCAGTCATTACAAGTTTCACCGTACATCGTATATATGTGATGTAATAATGTACGTTACACTAGCCAACCTATTTCAAATATTCCAAAAACAAATTTTACCATCAATGTACATTGTACACTCTATTCTTATGAAAGTCCCTAAAGATCTGTATAAAAAAAATAAGGTCGGAGTATTAGCGTGACGTATCTGATAATACAGTGATAAACAAACGATTTAAATGGATAGTTTTTTCCTGAATTTAATGTGTTTGTAGTATTGAATAAGTACCGATATAATATTAAACAACAAACGCGGTGTATTACACGCACAAAATAATATATGCACACAATGTGTATACAGAGAGTAAGAGAATATGAGATCCGTTTAAAGTTTAGACGAGTTTTTTACAAGAGAGTGACGGCGAAGGAAAATATATACAATTTCTTCGCATGCACTTATATAATTTTATTTGTGTGTATTTCCACATTTACTCGTAGATCGCCTAAACTGTCTAAACTTTAAACGTATTTATCGATCTACTATGAGCACATAACCGTACAACGGATAAATATAATATAATATATCATAATAAATTTATCAGTAGGTACACACTAACGTTTTTTTGGTAAATGCTCTTTCGAGTTTGTACATAACTCATATAAAATATACCATCACACATAAATGATGCAGTATATTATAATGATGTCTTATACATATGTTTAATTAGAATTTGAATTGGGTATAATTATTTGAGTATTTTAAAGTATTGTATATTGTATTATACCGCTTTATATTGCAAATTTTATCACCTACCTAATGTGTGTTATCATCTGAGAAGTATTTGTAATAATAATATTTTATTATACTATTATTTTAAAAATTTAAAACAATTTTGGAAATCGAAGTATTACAATAGTACAATAATAATACCATGAGCTAGTGATGTAAAAATAGTAATTAGAAAAACGTATCGGGTGAATCGTTAAAAAAAAAAATCATGGTTTTTTGTTATTTTATATTATAACGTACAATTTGGATAAACAGAAGATGATATAGAAATGAAATCGAGTTTAAAGAAAAGGTTAAATGCCCAAAATCCTGACGACCTTGATAAAATATATGAATATACAATGAATAAATTGTTTAATTTTGACGTATTAATGTTTATTAATAAACTCATATTTCAACAGTTTTGTTTTGAGTTTTTAAAAAAAAACAAAACGTTGCACAATGAATTAACTATAATATATTTCTTGGAATAATACTAGCATATTTTATTATCGTAATAAAACTAAATTAACATGAATAGTTTTATCATTCATATTAAATTATTTTTTAAATAATATTCATATACTAAACCCGTAATCAACTAAAGCAGAATACAAAATTATTCAATTATATTTCAATCAATTAATAATATATTAAATGCATTTTAATTTTTTATGAGCAATTAAAAGTCAGTTTGATTGGATCTATGCTTTTTAAATAATTTTAATGAGTTTATAGATACTAAAATCAGTAATTATGAATAAAAAAAGTAAATATCGAACTGATTTACCAAAAAACAATATAATGTTTTACGTTAAAAAAAAAAAATCATCTCTTGTAGAATGACAAACCGATTCAAATGAAAACATTATATTTACGTACATTATTATTGATATTAAACATAAATAAAATAAAACACATTGTAATAATTACAATAATCTTGCATGTCTTAAGGTCATACATTTTATTATAATGTAATGTAGGTAATCGCCGAATTTGAGCAATTTAAACGATAATAGTTGTACAATGTTATTACGTATTTCACAACAATAATATTATGTTTACAATGATTAAAATTGGTATTTTATAATATATACGAAGTACATATTATTATTGTATTGATTAAAGTATAAGATAATAATATTATTAAATATAAATTGTAGAATAAAATTATTGACTCACCTCCGTAATTCGGTCTTACTCTTTTGTCGTAACTGCCGCTGAACGAATCGAGTATGGCCGAAATGTTCACGTCTCCGAACATACTACTGCTGAAACAAAGCGATACAATCGTCACAGTTTGTCATTCAGAACGACCATAGTGCAAGATTGCTATGAAGTATCTCGCACGGAGGTCTTGTGCACTATAATAGTGCTTTGTAAAGTATTTATAATAATATGGTACCTATAACATTTTATTTATATACTAAATAAAATGAATAACGATGGGTTTTTTATGACAGCTGTAGCTTGCTGATAAACACATAATTCATAGAATATTTAATAGTTATAAGATTATAAACAAACGTAATACAGGGAAATAATTATAGGAGATATTATATAATAATATAGATAATGATTACTAGAAGCTTACAAAAAAAAAAAAATAATAATAATAATAATAATAATAAAATTATAAACGAATAAACAATAAATTGAATTACTAACAAAAAAACGATTTCTTTTAAAACGCATTGATTGTCATGTCAATAATTACTTTCACAGTCTCCTATCCTATCACTGCCGAGTTAAATGTGGGAACGGCCATTTCTCAAGTGATCATCGCATGTGCTCTATGCTCGAGGTTGTATATAGCTTCGTATAAAGGATATCCATTTTACGAACATCTCATCTTAACTTGTATATAACATAAATCGGTCAAATGCAATAATCGTTTCACCACTACATTTGCAGTAATGCCACAAAATGACTCCACTCTCAACTTTAATTAAGAATATAAATAATCATACACCAATATCACATTTAATGTATCGCCATCAGTTTAATGATATAATACAATCTCCAAATTTATTTGATCATCATCAGTCCATTCCCATTATTATTAACAACATAATTAAGTATAATTAACTTCAAAAATCACTTTTAACAATTTAATTTACATGTATTTCAGTGTTTAAGAATAATATATTACATAGAATTTAACCTATATTATTTTTTATTTGTTTAAATAGTTGTTGAAGTATAATTTTAATACTTGATTTCTTAATAAATTCAAAAAAAAAAAAATTGTATTTTATTATTTATTTATTTATTTATTTATTTATTTATTTATTTTTTTTTTACTACAGTTATTGTTACTAGTATTAGATTTAATAATACAAGTATAAACAAATGTTTCATTTTGTAATACAAATTTAATAAATACCTACTGAAATATTTTAAGAAAGTTCTAAGTTTCTAATATTTAAATTTGGTGCACACATTACACCTTAGTTTGTGTTTGTATAGCAACGCCTATTTTTTCATAAGTAATGGATTTTTAAATATTTTTTTAAGTAATTTCGATCCATAGCATGGTTTTAAAACCAAAATGTTATAATTTTAATTTATTCACTATTTGAAAATACATAGACTCTTTTCCATTCTTAAAATAAACTTAAATACCTCTAGACTTACATTTTTATGTAAATTTCGATATATTTTTTTCAATTCTTTCAACTGTACTTGTATAATAGATTTATTTTCAAACTTTAAATAACTGTTACTCGTCTAGTTTTAAGTATAGAACCATAATATTATAATAGGTTTATGAAAAAAAATGGTTTAAACAAATAAGAATGTCGTACAATACTGTTGAAACAAATAAATAAATAAATAGAGACATAATTATTATTTTTGATACCTATCCAAAAATAATAATTACAAGATAATATTAGTTATAAAACAATAATTTTATATTTGTCAGCTGGCGCGGCGTGTAGGCAATATAGGTACGTCACCGTGTAGATTGTTTTTAGACGCATAATCATGTGAATTCACAATCCTTTCTAGCTAAGTCAACTTCTATTTATTTTTAAATAAAATATTTTGCTACCTACCTACATTTTAATTTTATATGTTGTTCAAAATAAAATAAAAATATTTTTCATAATTTTAAAATACTTAATGAGGATGTTCTAAAATATAATATGATTCCTTTAATCATCTTAAAATATGCTATTAACATATATTTCGTACTATCAATCGCTCTATTTTATAACACTAACCAACGAATATACTAATAGTCACGTTATTAAGAATATCATATTACTAATAAAATTACTTATTATATTATATAATGTAGGTAGAAAAAAAAATATTCCAATAAAAATATTTTCTTCGTAATAACAACTAGGGGGCTCTACCCTCTGCTTGATTTACTCACCAACCTCTTTTATAACCTTAAATATTCAGGCTTATCTGTTTATTTTTTCTTTTAATTGTTTTCTTTGATTTCTTGTCGTGATACTCTTTTCTTTGTTTTATTTTTAATATTGTTCTTTGTTTTTTCTTGTAACGTGCATTCTTCATTTGATGTTCAAAACATCATTTTACCCATTACAAAAGATCTAATATAAAAAATTTTTGTTGGAAAAAAATAATAATATTTATGTTAATTTATTTAATTTAAAGTAGCCATAATTATTACTTGCTTATGATTTAGTTATAGTTGAAATTGTTTGACAAAACTATCGTATAATAGAAAGATATCAATATTACCTATTTTAGTTATTAGTTCTAAATTTGTAAGTTTAACGTTAACTGTGGCCAATTGAAAAAAATAAATAAACAATTTATTTCAAATTATATACAATACAGGTGATAAAAATATAGATGAAAAAAAAATACATGACTTCTCTTATTATAGGGAGATAATTTCAAATAATCGTTGAACACTAGAGAGTATTTAATAATATATTTAAAAACATAATTCCAACAGTTATTTTTAGGCCTAAAAAGGTAATTTATGCTTTGAATAAAAATTATATTTTTTGATTCTGTGATGATTACTTCCCAACTACCAATGTATATGACCATAACAACTGTAATAGCAAACGACAGTAAGTTTACAGTTAATACATTTTGTGCAATAATTCAGTGATGAAGCTAACTTATATACAATAGTCATATATTAACGAACTAATTTTAGAACCAAAGTATTTGAATTCATTCATCAGATGAGTCAATAAGGTAAAAGTTTTAAGAATAAAATAATATACATAATATACATTAGTATAAAAAAAAATTAATTTTTTTTAGTAAATATTTATTTATGTACTTCAAATGTTTAATATTAGTTTGTTTTTTTCCTAAAAAAAGACTAAAAATTACATAAATATGTCATTATGCCCTTAAAATAAACATTGATCCCTTCAAACAGTGAAATGCGTAGATAGATGCATTTTTCCTATGTGTAAGTCAAAAACAATCTGTTTAATTGCAATATACAGCCTAATTAATATATTAAGTGTGAGTTTAATAAGTAACGCATACTTTTTAATATTTATTATTAAAATAATTACGTCATTATTTCGTATTCCAATTTTAAAAATGTTAATGAATCAACTAACCGTGGGTAAAAACAAAGCAGAAAACAATACTAAAAGTTATTTAACAGCAATTTTGAAAAAAAAGGTAAGCAACCGTATAATATACGATAATATAATAAACGTATGCTATGCACTTGAAAAAATTTTTCATAGTATGAAAAATACAGACCAACAATTCGATACGAAGATAATTTACTTAAGGTATAATTGCAAAATATTATTTTTCTGTTCGATCTCTTTGTAACTTTATATGAATGAAACTACTCCCTTTGCATGTATCCTTTTTAAAAATGAGAGTTCCGATACTGGGCGTGGTGGTTAAAATGACGTTCCGCCAACACGTCATCACATGTCGTGCAAATATTTACTTTCCTACGGAGTTATTAGGTCTCAACGTCTAACCATATATACATAATATATTTTTTGTAAAGGTTCCAATATACGATGTGTGTTTTTCAAAAAAAGACACGTGTATATATGTATAGAACTGTAAACACAAAGTGTGTTTAAAATAAATTTCGTCTAGACTCAGCATTTGATATAGATTCATTAAAAAAATGACATGATAATTATTAGAAAAATTATCAAATTTATAATATGATAATATTACTTTGTACACAAATTTTAATTTTTTTTTAATTTGAACGATTAATTATTCAAAAACTTTACCATTATTGATAGTTTCGATAAATTTAGTATGGCAAATACTATTTTTTACAGATCGGCATTTAAATTTCAACAGTGTTATTAAATTTGTAATAATTTTTTAGTCTTTTATTGGTTATTTTTTTTTTCTTACTTATAGCATACACATTTACTTTAATGTTCCAAAGCACAATAATATTCCGGGGAAAAAATATTAAGCCAATTAAATACTTTCCGAGATAATGCACTGGTTTACCGTTATATTAATAATCTTTATTTATATACGGAACAGCTATTTGGTCAGGTGATCGACATCCAAAGTCCACACAAGACACAGATATCGTATAATGAAAACGACAGAACAAAATACAAGATACGAATCTTCAGAGTTTACTGGAAACCTATCGGATTTTTCTTTTCTTTTTTTTTCGTTATTATTTTTTTGAGATTTTGCCAAGATTGGCAAAGGCTGTGTAGGGAGTCGGTTACTGATATATGTTTTATTGTATCCATATTATATGTACTCAATGTGGCCCGGGAATCGGATAATAGAAAAGTTCGTGAAATACGCTTTGATAGATTTATGAAAGACGTGATATTATTTTTATCTACATTTCAAACCACTTGTCTATTATCACAACAATAATAACATATTGTACCCGATGTTACAGTTATTATTATTGTTATATCTGAATACTACGTCCACTGTATGATCTATGTACCAGATACTATTATTATTATTAAATAGCAATACAATGAAAATATAAAGTCTGAAAGTCAAAGAAGACAGATATTTATAGTATTATTAATTAATCATCTACTACTATTGGATGATTTTATAATTTTTATAAGAATTAGCCGTACTCAAAACTTGTTTTCTGAGTTAATAATTGAAAAAATAGAATAGAAAAAAAATACGCTGTTAGACAATGCATGGGACTAAAGACACGAACTTAAAATAATCAAAAATAAAACGATTTTTTATTCAAAAACAGAGCAGAAGATCAACCAGAAGAGTAGCGTTTAATCAGTGCAAATAATTAATCTCAATAACCTACCGTAGTACATGTATTGCAATACACATTATACACTAAGATTTTGTCATATAATATGTTTCTGTTGAACTATATTCAAACAGTTTTTAAGTATAAGTGTTCAAATATTTTCTAATCTATAGACTTTGATCAGGTTTCGAATATGAACATTAAATAATAGATATATTACTGTTTTTCGTTTTATAATTTCATGCTTTATCGTTCTGATATCGTACAATAGTACTATATATATATACGAGTATATAACTATATTGATAGCAATAGTGTATAATAAACTATTTCATAGTTGTTTAACTGCAAGTTCAAGTCATTGTAGTACTAGTCTTTGAAAATTCTAATTATTGGTATTTTATAACTTTTGGTCCCTTGCAACAGTCATCGATACATAACATCATTACATTGCACTGTAGTTTCCAAGAGAAGAATGTGCTTACAGACTACGCATAAATCTATCTATAAAAACAGCAAGACATGTTGTAATAATAATAATAATATGTGTAGGATGACATGTAATATAATATGTTGTAACAAATTTCGCGTAGTTTTATGTATCGGAAGAGTTTCGCGGCTATAGCACACGTGTTGCTTGAAAGTTAAAACTTTGTGCGAACTCGTCGTTTTCTCGTCAATATACATATGAAATATAATATAATAACAGTATTGCATACGATAGTGAAACACCGATCGTATACAACGCTATATAATATTATGACGATATTTCTCCGGTTTGAAAAATGAATATACAGCATAATATTAAGCCACGCGCGAAAACACTTGAAAAGTACGGCACTTCAAATAGAAAATGCGCACTTTGATACGTGTGCACGTGAGTGTTATGGAAATGACGGAAATAAAAGCATCGATTGACAATATAGTGTTAAGACATTGTTGCTGGTACTGACATTCTACTCTGAGTGCAAGTGTGTACAGTGTGCAGTGCAAGTGGTGTTCAATGACTTTTCCGGCAGTATTTATAATATTATTATTGTAGAGGAATAAGTATGCAAATATAGAGATAATAATATCATTATTCCAGACGAAAGATGGATTTGAACTGTCAAAAATATACGAGTTTCGCTTGATAAGCTACTACTAAGTATATTATTATCATACGGATGCTATTATTAATATTCATCTACCTCTGCGTACATTTTTTTTATGCGGATACTTCTAATCGATTTTTATAAAAAAAAAAAAAAAAAATAATAAAAACGAGAAACAATGATTTTTTTAGTTTAGGCAAACTAAAAAAATAGTAACTGTAAAGTTAACCTCTATGGTGAAATTAAAATTTTCAACAATTTGAAATTAATTCGCTTAAATTTTCAGTGGCGTGACGAACGGAAGAGTTAGGCATACGTAAGTGAATGTTTTCGGTTCTTGATTTTTACCGTAATCATATCTTGAAATAAAGTGAACACGAATTTGTGAGCTTAACGCCCACAGATTAATTAATATGTTTATTTCTATTGAGTAGTTTTTATATTGATTTCATGTTGAGTAAACTAATTTTAATTTTATTTTAAAATACCTATCAACAATAGTAACGTTTGCTAAGTTTTATACAAATACCTATATTACAATTCATAATTTTTTTATTTACTTTTTAATACATTACAATACTGATAATTTAATATAGTTGTTAGCAGTTTGCATAATATTTATAATAAAATATTAATAATTAAAGATTATGTACGGATATTAGCTTATAAAATGTAATTATGAAAAAATTAAAAATAAATAATATCATACCCTAAGTTTTATATTATTAATCACTACTTTTTTTATTACTTGTATTCGTTGATTGATTATTAATATTTTTTTACTGTTATATAGTGTCAAATAGGTAATTTTATTAAAATATGTATATAATGAACTCAAAAACCACTCGATGTCAAGTTAAATGAACGACTGACGGAAAAAAGATTAAACATATTAAGTTCGTATGACTAACTATTTCATTGGAAATAATTTTTTAATAATAATGATTTTTCAATCATTATAGAAGGTTCAGTAGCATCATTAGAGGTCAAAACCTCGTTTGTATTGTGTTATTTCTCGGATGAAGCTTTAAATTATATTTTTACCAATACCGTAGTATAATTTATCGTATACTTATGGTGTCATAAACTTGGGTGTTGGACGCTTTACGTCAAGCTTTCTTTTTTTTTAGAAGTTTGAATTTTCAGAATCTGTCGGATTTCATACTCAACCGGAATATTAATCGTTTTGCTTGGTGCGCATAATATAATGAAATATTATATTCACACAAACGTGATAAAATACACTCAAGTTCTTCTTGTATTTATCATAAAATTGTTCGTTCGGCCAATGAACTATGTTAGAAAAAATATGTATTTTAAACAGTATAATATGTTTTATAATATAAATTATGTATTTATACCGTGTCTCATTGATTTAGGAACTATTTCTCGGACGTTTTATGTTGGATTGAATCTAAAATGTCTTTAAAAAGCTAAGCGTAACTTAAATATATATTTATAGAAATATTTCAAAATTGCATACCTTCCAATACTATTGTTAGTTCAATGAAGTTTTTAAAAAGAAAGTTTTGATTGCGTTCATTGGCCATTGAACAAAATATTGAGTAATTTTTAAATTGATAAGCTCATCGTTTATAATATATTATAAATATAATAAAATATATATACGTATGTATACTAATAGTTATTATGCTACTATCATACATAACACTTTATACATTTAAATAATAATTACTATAAGACATTTATAAAAATAAATTATTTGAAGTAGAAATAAGGTATTTTTATTGATAAAAAAAAAAAAAAAAAAAAAAAAAACATAACATGAAAATCCAAAGTAACATTTAAAAAACGATTGATTTCAAAGTATTATGTAAAGTGGTGTACGAATCAAACGCATAAAAATATTTTATACGCTTAGCTCTACAATAACTGATGACACGATTAACACTAAAACTAAAACTAAAAAAATCCAAATCTAAGTACCCTACCACCGTAAACTGTCGAGAAAATATGAAACACGCATAACATACATGAGCCGAATTAAAAACAAAAATTAAAATGATAATAATAACGACATTACGTCCGGAAGACAATGAAAATATTTTGTCAGTTAAATTAATATTATTACCGAAGCAATACATAATATTATGATACAGATACACCTCAGCATCGAGAACTGTAATTGCTTAAATCAAACATATCCGTTTGAGTTAGACTTCTATTATAAGTATCTACTAACCGGGGTGAACATAATTTATGTTGTACAACAAAATATGTAGACACTACATACCACGTCTTATTCGCTGAAATTTAAATGCTGTTTTGAAATATCGATATAAACAGAGTTCTCGTTTTACTAATTTGATGTGTATCTAACCCTACCTAACCTAATCTGACCAGAAAAACCTTGATCACTTAAAAAGATAATGTGTAAAAAAAATAAAATATACTATAAGTATTTTAACTATCGTAGATTTTTCAGTTACCTATACTTGTATACCAGTAATATTTATGTTAGGAGTGTTTCTAATATTTATAAATAAATACAAATCGAATTATTGGTGACATGATTTCGTATACCTATATTAAAATATAAGTTTTATAAAATTAATAATTTTAATATTTGGATAGATATACGTGATTATAATTTTTCAGTAGAATTTTCAGAGAAAAATACATATTATATTTTTATTGTTTTTAGGGTTTTCTTCGTTTACATACAAAAAAAATCACCTCTAAGATTAGTCTTCTACTCACGGTAAAGGCCTTTTTCCGTAATTAAGAGGGGGTAATAAGGTTGGGGAAAGCGTGTTGCGGTACTGGAACATAATATAATAACAATAATATTATATAAGTATTTTATATACGCGATAACAATATAATATAATATAATATTATGTGTAGTGGTGCGTTACACTCGAGTCCCGGGCATTGTATTCGAAGCGCGTTTCGAGGACATACCCTCGCTGTATATGCATTTGTATATCTATACACTAAAATCCCGGCTCGAACGAGCTCTTTACGTCTCGAGGACACAACAATAACGGCGGCGGCGTTTATATAGTGGCTGTTCATCGCGTTTATTAGTATTATATTATTATTGTTATTATATTATTGTGTATAATATATACATATAATATTATGGTGAAATTAAAGTGTACATGAGCTCCGTCGAGTCTCTCGAAATCTAGGTTATGGTACTCGAATATGACAGCTCGCCCCGAAAAGACACTTTGATTTGCGTGAGGATTTTAAGGGTGTGAAAAGTGGTACCTACAACGACTTACAAGGTCCTTCCCATTTGGTTTTTGTCGCATATCTCGGTAAGTGTTTGTGCACAAACGACGAGAATTAGCGTATAAACGAAGCACGAACGTGCGATCTATAGGCATAAGGATAATTAATATCATCCAAAGTGAAAAGGAAAGGGGGAGGGGGCAACCGATCCAATGCCCCTCTCACAGTGTAGTGTTTACAACAATTCGGTAAGCTTTTGTGCACGAATCATCGCGTAGTACTTGAGACATAAACGATAAAAAATAAAAATTTAAATGTTTTAAAAACGGAATAAAAAGAGTATACTCACGCGGCGTGCGTGCAGGGCGTAGATGGGGCCCAAAAGGCGACGCAGGCCACCAGCCACGCGGACATGCGACGGACGGCCGCTGCTGACGACAAAGACGAAGACGACGAGTGCCGACGGGTGTTGGTCGCGTGCCTCATGGTCGGCGGCGGCAACGGTGACTTGGCGTCGGACGCGACCACGGCGTCGGTGGCCGCGTACGGCTGTCGAGCGCGGCTATCGGTGGCCACGGTGGCCCGCGGCCGGTGCGGGCCGTGCCCGTTTCGGTCGTGATGGCGGTGGTGATCGTGATGATGATGATGGTGGTGATGGTGGTGACGATAATAGTTGTGGTGATAGTGGTGATGGTTGCGGTGATCGTGTTGGTGGTTCACGACGGCGGCACTGCGGGCTGCCCGCGCGTCGGCACCGGCGCCCGAATTTGTACGACGGCGAGGCCCCGCCGCATCATCGTGGTCGTCCGACGGCACGGGCGGTGGCGGTTATGCCGCGTCGTCGTGGTCCCGCGGCCAACCACCGATCTCACGGCCGCCTCGAGGAACCATATGACGACGTCGTCGCGGTCGCGGTCGTCGCGTAGATAACGTGGTGGTGGTGGTGGTGGTGGTGCGTCTGGCGACCGCCAACCGTCTGCTCACGCTTCGCCGGCATGCTCCACGGCTTGGCCCGACCGTCGGTCGTCCGGGAAAACGCACAGTGCAAGCCAATCACGACACGATCCGCAGACTGTGCGTGCGTCTGCTGCCCTCTTACGTCAAACCAACATTACATTATCTAATCCTGTCTTTAATCCATGACGGACGACTCTGGCCGGGATATGTCCGGACGGAGCCGGGCGCCGCGTATACACATCGACGCGACGCTACCTTTACGCAGTAGATGCGACGACGCTGCGCGGCCTAGAAGGCGGTGGCTGGCGGGAGGAGGAGAGAAGACAATGACGACGACGAGGGCGCGAGATCGCTGCTACCGAGGCCACCGAAAGAGGACGCCGCGGAGCCGAGAGCAGATGAACAAAACATCCCGGAAACATAGAAAAAGCTGCTCGCACGCGTGCGTATTGCGTGTCGGTGACAGGTGCTGCATAGATTACGTGCGTGTGCGTGTGTGTGTGTGGGTCCGGTTGCGGTGCGTGCGGGTGCGCGCGTGCGTGGTGCGCTGAGAGCTGACCGTCCGTCTGCGAGCGCGATTGTCTGCAGGCGCTGCGGTCCCGGAGAGCTTTCCAGGTTGTTTGCGTCGTGGCTGGCGGCGCGATGAGAAGCACCGTGCCGCCGCCACCGCCGCTGCCGGTATTCCGTTTGGCGCACTGACACTCGCGAACAACGTCGTGCGGTGGCGGGTCGAAAAGGCATAGGCCGCGCGCGCCGTATTGATTCGCACGGCCACCTGAAACCCGCCACCTGTCCGGCGTCACGACCCCGTTCCGTCGCCCGCCGCCTGCGCCCGCGTGTATTGCCCGCGACCGCCGCCGCCACTTGTGGACGCGCTTCGCCTCGTTCCTGCCCGCCTTAAATACCGTCCACCCCCAACGCCATTCCTCCTCTGGCCGCGCTCGCTCATTCACATACGCCGCCGCCGCCGCCACCGCCGACACCACCCACCACCTATATAGGTTTTGACACGCACACGGGCGCGCCAGGGTCTAAGCATAACTGAACGAAACGCGTTCGCCCCGCCGCCGCCGTTCCATCGGAATATTGTCGAATTTTATTACGATATACGTACATTATTGTCTTTTGTGGTAATTTTAGTCTATGGTTGAATTTTGACAATGTTTTTGACGTACAAAAACTGATATAGGTACGTTGCCAGTTGTGTTATTGAATACTGTCATTATCTATTATAATACGGCGTATTCTAGAGAACGTTTCGGATTGGATAGGCCCACCCTCGATCAATTAGTAAAAATTCAGAAGCTTGTTTTTCAAAACAGATAAATACTACTAATAGTTATAATATGAATACTATATTGTATAAAATACTAAAAATTCGTAAACATTTTTACATAATTCATTTAATTTCATTATTTATTCTTCCCCTCCCAAATCTTTAATGGGCTGGGTCTATGAAAGAAATTAATCAACTGATTCAAAAGTGCCTAAGCAAGCCAATAATTCTACTGATTTAATTTAGAACACGTTATTTGTCGTCTTGAAGAGTTGCTAAAATTGTACTGTATGATAGTTATTAATTCTAAAATTGGTCAAGTTTAAAATTAGATCAGGGTTAATGCTCTGCACGTATTCGCCTTGAAAACCGCCTATATTGTGCAATTTTAAAGTTTTTCATTTTAACGCGTATTTTGAACAATTTGTTTAGAGGCTGGTTGTTTAATTATTACTGTCACCACTTTTGCCGCAATAATACTTTGAGAAATGACCAAAATTAACTGCACAGTTTTAGTGCGTCAGATTAACTGACTATTGTGCTATAGTGATACAACAATTATATAAATATATTACTATATATTATAAATACCGTATTGCAGTACATGTACACATTATTATACATACTTATTTATTGTATACTATTATAAGGGTTGAAGTTTGCACTGGCGTAAAGTAATTGCAGGCAGAAATAAACATAAGTTAAGTAATTTTTGTCGCAATCGCTCTGGTCGATCGTCTGCAGTCGTTTTAATAATATCGTAGCAATGCTTTCCCACCCTCTTCCACACAATACCACCACCATAAATCGGCTGGGTCCATAACGAATAGGTCCTTGACGCCCGTTCTGACCTTTATATATATTATACAGAGTCAACGACAAGATAATCGAATTCGTTTTCATTCAGTTATTGATGACAATCCGCGTATTTATATTTATATTATACTTGATACCTAAGACGAGTGCCTATTATTATACATATAAAATATTTCAAGCAGATAGTGCGTGAAGACAACGAGCTTTTAAGCAATAGTATAATAACAGTTTGATGTTGACGAAATAATATTTTATATTATGTAATGGCTATAAACATGACTTTGACCAGCTGTTTCCGCAATTGTACGGTGAGCGAGTATTAGGGTCCATTGAAAAATAACGCTTTAATAGTTGTATTCGACGACAAGAAGTTTGACAACGTAGTAAATGAAATAGCGAACGCTTAGAAGAAAAACTTTGTCAAGCTCATAATCATATTAAACAAAATGTAGTTAGTATCATCAGAAGGTTTTATGTAAATAATTACATTTTACTTTAACTGAAATATAAATTACGATGAAGCCATAATAATATAATATAATCGAAAGTCGAATTGTTTATTATATTAAGAAGTTTGATTGTTGATTACATTTATTACCTTAAGTTTATACTCTTATTTTCATTTAAAGTAAAACAAAAATCATATGATATATAACAAACGTTTGATGTTTGCAGGTGTACTTGAACTATAATTAAGGTGTGCACTGTATTTTTATAGTTTTAAATAGGTAACAAACATGAAATTAGTGGTAAAACCGTTACAAAAAGTCGATTGATAGGTAGTTAGCACGGTATCTATGAGTACATATACCGTTCATTGCACCTGTAACATTAGTATATTGAGCAATACGTAACTGAACGAAGTTTGA